TGATTAGTCGACTAATCAAAAAAAATCGGTGATTAATCGATTATAAAAATAATCATTTGTGGCAACCTTAATCCTAACCCTGACCATTTACCCTAAAATTAACCTCACAGGTACCTACCTGACCCTAAAACTTACCTAAACTCAATTCACACCTTGGTCCTAAACCCAAGCCCCCACCCATAACTAGCATCTGTACATTTGGGGACCGGGTATTGGTCCCCACAAGGCTGCATTTTTCTGGAAAATGGTTCCCACAATGTAGCAAAAACATGTACACACACACACACACCCTTGCGCACACACATACTTTGGTTCAGGCAACAAATAGTGACAGCAGAGATAATGTTTTACCTCTGGGAATGTGAGTAATGTGACAGGAAGTCTCTTCTGGAGATTTGGCTTTGACTGGATCTGTGCGACTGCTGCTCTATTACTGTATAAGTGTGTGTGTATGTGTGTCTGTGTGTGTGTGTTACCAAAGGCACCAGCTGTATTCCTCATTTCTGCAGGTCTGTATGACAAGAAACTCCAGCCAACATCCACCTCATGTGTTTACAGCCAGACACAGCACAGGTCCTGTATAAACCAGGGTCCAAACTTCCCAAGTTTTAGTTTATGCTTGTTCAAAAATTACAACCTCCAGTCCCGAAAATGAGTAAAATATTAATAAAAACAGAGTTAAATTGTTTGCAAAAGTAATATTTTTTTACAGTGAAACATAAACTATTAAAAATGTTTAAGCTAGGGAATTGTACTTTTTTTGCAGGAAAAATAAGGTAATTTTGAATTTGAGTACACTGTCATATCTTTAAACAACTGAGCCCAGGGTTGGGGTCGTGTTTGTAAAGGTCTGGACTAAAGTCAGACCAGTTCAGCACCTTTCTACTATAAAGCCATGCTGCTTAATGGGTTTGCTGTTGCTAAAATATGCAAAAATTGTCTTAGGAGGAAAATGCATCCCCATAGCATCAGAGAGGCAGGCTTTTGAACTGTGCACTGACATTACCCTAGATGGCAGGCATTTAGGGGCAACGTAAGGACGCCCAGTTTGGTTTTCTGATGCCTTGTTTAGTTTGCCGTCAGAGCACAGTGATGATTTTCCAGTTCCCCATAATTTAAAAGACATTTTCATCTGTAAATTTTGTACACGGCAGCAGGATTGGCGAAGACAGAAGAAGACACATAAAGAATACATTTCACCAGCTTGGATAAATTTAAAGCAGTGGTACAATTTTAGTAGCTTTTGTCCTCTACGTAGATTTTGTAAACTTTCATAAATAGAAAGGGGCAGGGTCTGGATTTATGTGTCAATGTCTTTTTCCAAAACCCTAAAAAAGCCTGTTAGATKGTCATTTCTTTTTGGAGTGAGAGATAGAAAGTAACAATAAAATATTTGTGTTTCTGTATATCTTTCTTCTTACCGTTTACTGTGAATAATAATAATAAAAAAATGAAATATGCATGTAATTTATTACCTGCTCTGTTTCTCTGAATTTGAGACCCCTCTCATCAAGGTTAAACTAAGATTTCCCATTTATCTTTGATTTTTCACCAAATTCATTCAAAATTGAATTTTTCTTCTCACACAGTTTCACTTATTCTACTCTTCTGTTACTTAACCTTTCTTTCTCCCTAACCCCTTTTTTTGTTATCCCTCTCCTCTGTTCCTACATGCCACGCATCTTTTAAAGTTTTATGGAGGCAAAAGTGCTGCTTCTTGTCCAGCTTGACATTCTTCGCATATTCGAGTGGCGTCCTCACCGACTGACTTTCAGCAGGACGGATATATGAACGTACTGAGAACAGAGAACCAGATGCTGCCCAGATATACCAACCCAAGCCAGGCTGATTCTGCTGATATAAACTGATCCATTAAGCGTATTTGTTGTGTAGTATTTGATCTGACACCCTTCACTCATCTGTTTGAGAAGCTGCAACATTTATTCTAGTGTTTCTTTCTGAGTTTTTTTTTCTCACTCTTTTTCTGTTTTGACTCTTTTAGCTCTGGTGTCCYCGCGTCACTTCTGATGAGTCTAAAGATGGCAGACTTTACAAAACAGAATAATCCATTCGGTGGGGAGAAGTCACTGCTTCCTCTCTTGTCAAACATTTACATAAAAACATTTAAAATACAGCATTACAGATAGAGCTGGGCGATATGATCAAAATTTTATATCACGGTATTTTCAACATTTTCACCGGTTTCACGGTATTTGACGGTATTTTTCTTTTCATCACAGCTCAGCTGATAATAAAACGTACAAACCCTGCTTATTGAGGTTTTTTCTTTTACTGTACCTCGGTCTGTGTCTCTGTTTCCCTCCTCTGTGTCTGTTCTTCTCTGACTGGTGGTTGGAGACAGTAGTCATGCATTTTGGTCCAGTCGTGAAGGAGGAGGGTTAAGAAAAGATTATGATCTGGTTTATTTTATGTTGTTTATTAAAACTTATCAGCACGACTCACCTTGCACACCAGTCAATTCCAACTCCACTAAGAACTAC